TGAATACTTTCCGTACCCACTGTATATATATATATATATTAATATTATATTTGAAAACATTTTATTTGTATTCATTTGAATCATGTTTCTACCCACAATAGAATGGTATTATTTATTTTTATATATTAAATGTGTTATTTATTTGTTTATTTTATTCAAATTTTTAGTATTTTACTTATTTTAGTTTATTTATTTTAATAATTTATTAAAATTATGGCATCAATTTTTTTTATTATTATTTATTTAATTCTATTTTTTATTGTGCATTTTGTCACGTTTTAATTTATTCTAATCTCTATTTATTATTTATGCATTTTAGTCTGTTTTTTTCATTTATTTTAATCTATTTAAATCTGTTATTTATTTATTTAAATGAACTTTTTATAATTATTTTATTAAATATTTTATTTTAATCTAATTATTATTACTTATTTGAATCATTTTTTTAATGTTTTAATTAATGTATTTATTTTAGTTGATTTTTAAATGTACTTTAATCAATTTATTTATTCTAATCTACTTTTTTTTAATGCATTTTAACCTATTCTTTCTTATTTTTGTATTTATTTATTTATTTGTTTTAATCTAGTTTTTAATATTTAATCTGTTTTATTTATTTTTATCTCATGATTTATGCATTTTCATCTATTTTTATCAATTTTATTTATTTATTCCAATCTTAATTTTGATAGTTTAAAAAAAAATTTTTTTTTTTTCTTTTTATTATAATTTTTTTTAGTGGTTCTCAAAACTTTTTCACAGACCCCCTACCACTCCCTTATGGGCCCCTGAGGGTCCCCAGACCCCAGTTTGAAGAATGCTAGCTTTAAATCAACTGTAACTCATTGTGGTGAAAAACCAACTCCGTTTTGTCATTTTCCGTCAGTATGTCTGTATCATCACTGAAATGGCTGATGTCCTGTTCCTCAGCCATGATCCTGCATGAGCTGATGATTTCGCTGATGACGCTCATGTTTAACAGCTTCCATGCACACATCGACATCGCTCCGAGTTCAGCAGCAGCTCATAGACGCCTCAGCGGTCAGATGAACACCAGCAGGCTCAGGTTGATGCTCTGTCTGGAGCTCTGGATGTTTGCAGACGTTGATGTTTCTGTCTCCTGCAGCTCCTGATTTGTCCTCCCGTGACGCGCTTCTTCTTCGGACGGAGAGAGCCGTTCCACAAACTGCTGATCCAGGGCGACTCTGCGGGGCGACTGACGGTGTGGAGCATCCCAGAGGCGTCACCCTTACAGCCGCTGTCCTCCGCCACAGGTACACCGCTCTCTACAACACTTAGGGCAAAACTAGATTTAACAAACAGTAAAAATAAAAATCTAAAAGTTTTTCACAAGTTACAAAACACAACATTTAAAAAAAAACTGTATTATCCCCTTTCTGTCAAACATATTTTATTGAACTGTCCAGCTTTTAATGTATGTAGAAAACTCTTTTATGAAGTGAACTCACTTAAAGAGTTATGTGATATAATTTTGCCAGAAAAAGTTTTAGAATTTGTATCATATGTTAATGTAAAAATCTTGTGTAATATAACTTGTGTTTGTTTGTTTGCTGTTTTTTTATTGTGTCTGTTATACTTGTATTTTTTTTAATTGTTTTTGTCATGAAAATAGCCTAAGATGCTGACATGGCATTAAATAAAAAATATACTACTACTACTTAAGTAGTTTTTTTTTTTTCATAAACTTAATATTATGCTTCTCACACATTACAAATAATAAACATGATAAAATTTTTTTTAACTCTGTTGAACAAACATTTAAGAAAATATTTTTTTTTCATAAACTGAATGTTATACTTCTCAGACATTACAAAAAATAAACATGAAAACATATATATTAAAAATTGTATTTAACAAACATTAAAATATTTTTTAATTTTTTCACAAACTGAATATTATAATACAGTATTGTAACTATATTTTAAACATTTTTACAACAGGCTTTGAATATTAAAAACAATAATGTAACTATTTTTTCCACTTTTTTCCCACAAACTGGATATTATAAACAGTATTTTCAGTATTTTTACCTTTTTTAATGAATATTTTAAACAATATTGTAACTTTAAAAAAAAAATCACAAATACAGTATTATAAACATCAATGTAACACGTGCATATAATGAGGTCGAATGAAAAATGGAAAAGATGAGACAACAATGAAGCATAATAATCTTTAAAGTACAATTAATCATGGTGGCATCCAAAGTACTATCACAGTCCTATCACAGTACTGCTGTATACACACTGCTCTCTTGTGTCCGCTTGTAGTATTACAGATACTGACTCCTGCATGTAATGCGATAGAGTTCTCAAACAGCACAGAAACACATGTATGTCCTGCTGTATGTTCATAACAGGCTTTTCTCTCCTCCTCCAGAGCTGCAGGAGTCGGTCAGCATCAGTCTGCAGGAGGCCTTTGATAAGTTAATGCCGTCTCCAGCCGGCATCATTGACCAGCTGAGCGTCCTGTCTGGCTCTAACGAGCCCATTAAGGTGACGGCGAGCGTCTACATCCCGTCTCAGGGCCGACTGGTGTGCGGACGAGAAGACGGCAGCATCGTACTCGTTCCTGCTACACAGACGGCCATCGTTCAGCTGCTGCAGGGAGAACACATGCTGCGCAGGGGTGACACAGTCTTATTGATATTAATATTTCATAATAACAAAAATTATATTTACAATGTTATATATTATTTGCAACACATTTTAGGTTTTAATATAAATATATTTTTTAATTTTATTTATATAATTTATTATGTATAAACATGCATTATATTTATTAGATTTATTTACAATAATAATAATAATAGTTATTATTTTTATTATTATAGTTGTATTTTATATTAATATTAAGTGCCATTATAATATCATACTTATTATTTATCTTATTTATTTACAACAACAACAGCAATAATAATAATTATTATTATTGTTGAATTTTATATTAATATTAAATGCCATTATAATATCATGCCTATTGTTTATCATATGTATTTACATCAATAATAATAATAATTATTATAGTTAAATTTTATATTAATATTAAATGTCATTATACTATTTAATATCAAATATATTTATTTTTTAATATTATTTTTTAGTATTATATTAATGTTGCATTCATTATATTTTCATTATATTTATTATATTACATTATCTGCAGCAATCTGCAACAATTATCTGCAATACATAAATGTTTATATTTATATAATATAATATAATATTAATATTAATAATATAATATTATTATTATAACAGTATTCTGCAGCAGTGTTTTCTACTGGATAATGTTTTTTGATGCCATTGCCCCACACTCCCATAACAACATGCTAACAACAACCAGCACATTTCTGAGTATTTTCCTTTATTTAGAATGAAGCACTGATCTGCGTCTGTGTGTGTGTGTGTGTGTGTAGGCTGGCCTCCTCATCGCACTCTCAGAGGTCACAGGCACAAGGTGACGTGTCTGCTGTACCCACACCAGGTCTCTCCGCGCTATGATCAGCGCTCGCTGGTCTCCGGCGGCGTCGACTTCTCCGTCATCATCTGGGACATCTTCACCGGCGAGATGAAGCACATCTTCTGCGTTCACGGAGGAGAAATCACACAGCTGATCGTGCCTCCAGAAAACTGCAGCGTAAGCTTCCTCAACACACGCTTTAACATCGATGCACCATAAGACTGTATAATAGCTTTCAGCATTCAGCGGGTGGGGTTTCTTTGTCCAGATATTCCCTCTGATTGGTCAAGTGTGATTTTGTGAGTTTAATGACCCGATGCAGATGCTGGTCAATATCTGAACTCAATCACAGCTCTTTTAACTGATGCTGGCGCGATGCGTAGTGTGTCTGGATCTATAATGCCCTGTAACTGTTAGGAGACCTGGAGCTATAGTCATTTCAGCCCTGAAACATTGCTTGTAGTGTTTAAGAACTGATATATTCAGCATTTACATATACATTTAGTCATTTAGTAGACGCTTTTATCCAAAGCGAATTACAATTGATGACAATAGAAGCAATCAAAATCAACAATAGAGCAATAATATGTTAGTGCTATGACACACACACACACACACACACATGTGTGTATATATATGTATATATGTGTATATATGTGTATATATATATGTATAAATGTGTATATATGTGTATATATGTGTATATATGTGTATATATATGTATATATATGTATATATGTGTGTATATATATATATATATATATATATGTGTGACCCTGGACCACAAAACCAGTCATAACGGCCAATTTTTTAAAATTGAGATGTATACATTCATCAAAGCTGAATAAACAAGCTTTCCATTGATGTATGGTTTGTTATGATAGGACAAAATTTGGCCGAGATACAACTATTTGAAAATCTGGAATCTGAGGGTGAAAAATAAATCAAAATACTGATAAAATCACCTTTAAAGTTGCCCAAATGAAGTCCTTAGCAATGCATATTACTAATCAAAAATTAAGTTTTGATATATTTATGATTTTTGGCATAAAAGAAAAATCTATAATTTTGACCCATACAGTGTACTGTTGGCTATTGCTAAAAATATACCCCAGCGACTTAAGACTGCTTTTATGGAACGATATTCCGGACAATTTTCAAATAGAATAGCAAATTGTATTTTCAATTGCGTTTTCAATATGTGGACGCATAAATTGTGACATAATCCAAATGCAATTGCAAACACTAATGCAGGATTTGCAATTGCATTTGGATTATGTCACAATTTATGCGTCCACATATTGAAAACGCAATTGAAAATACAATTTGCTATTCTATTTGAAAATTGTCCGGAATATCGTTCCATATGCTTTTGTGCTCCAGGGTCACTTATATATCAGAGGTCATGTTAACCAAACATTTTCCGTCATTGATGGAATTTTTTTTAGCAGTGACGGAAAAATATGAAGGCTGTTCGTCACTTTGACAGATTACACTGAGGATGATCTATTGTAATTTGTAACTGTATTTCCCAGCCCTGTTCAGTGTAGCAGCAGAGCGTGGGATCAGAACAAAAATAAAACTGTCACGAGTCTTTTGCAATGCCTTTGATTACACACAGGCGAGTATCCACTAGTAGTAAAGCGAAAGAGACGATCAGTTCAGTTCTGAGGTGTCTACAGCGATCTAGCACGCGGCACACCACATTAAAGAGCGCCAAAATGGTATTTATTGCTTGAATTTCCTAATATAATGGACAGAATTTGAAATCTGAGACTTTGTTTCATATCAAAAGTAACAACGCACAGAGCTTAGCCTATTGTGATTTATTGTATGGAAGGCACACTATATGTACGGTTCATTCTTCAACTGAAAACAGCATTGATTGGGATTTAAAGGGGTCATATGATGCGATTTCAATTGTTTCTTTCTCTTTGGAGTGTTACAAGCTCTTGCTGCATAAAGAAGATCTGTAAAGTTGCAACGACTAAAGTCTCAAATCCAAAGAGATATTCTTTATAAAAGTTAAGAGTCAGCCACACCTACCTAAAACGGCTCGTTCTAACACGCCCCCACATGTCTACGTCACTATGTGGGAAGATTTGCATAACGCCGCCCAAATGTTCACGCAAAGAAAGAAGGCGTAACTTTCATTCTCGCTGTAGTATTGTTGCCGCCGCCGCCATGTCGTGAAGGCGCTGTGTGTTTCGTTGTGAAAGCGAAACTACTTTGTTTGCTCTTCCAAAAGAGGACGATATCTGCTTCGTCATGCCTAGAGCTGATCCGTGCTGGTCGCTGGGTTTTAATGTTTTTGTCTCGTCAGACAGGGCATCACAGTATGGTAAGGGGCATAACATTTCCGTCACACACTTGAGGTATTCGGCCAATCACAACACACTGGATAGCTGG